CGCCGCCTCCCGCCCACCGTTTAGAGAGCTCGTGGAGGGCGAGGGGCGCGTGTGAGCTCCCCGCGCAGCGTCCCGGGCAGCGGCGGGGCCGGCTCGCGGGGCTCGGCGTAGCGTTGTCCGTGTGGGGGCAGCTCAGGGGCCTCTCACCACGCTGAACCCGGCCTCTCCGCAGCCCCAGGGGACCGGCTTGTGTTGGCGTTTAGTGGCTCCGCAGTGGACTTGGGAAAGAATGCGGGAAGGGAAGGGAAAGCTGGAAGGATTGGTGGAGGAAGTAACCTGGGACCAGGATCAGGAGATCTGAGGGAGTCACTTTATCGTGGTTTCCTACATGGGAAATATCGCTGTGAAATTAGATGACCTCCAAGGCCGCGCGGACCAGCAGAATTAGCATCACCTAGAAGCTTGTTAGAAATGCAGATTTAGGGCCGCGCCCCAGACTTGCTGAGTCAGAATCTCGGTGAGGGGGGGGGGCCCTGCCAGCTGTGGTTTTTCACAAGCTCTCCAGGTGATGGTGATCTGCGCTGAAGTTGAGAAGCGCTGATCTGGCAGTGCTGCTCCAACTCGCTGCGGATTAGAATGGCAGGGGAGTTTTGGAACCTCCCAAATAAAAATATCTCATTGGCGAACTGGAGGGATGGGAGGGCAGAAAGCGCAGGCATAAGTAGGTTTTTTTGGTTTTGTTTTTGGTTTTTAAGCTTCTCCAGTGTTGTCATGTGCTGTCAAGGTGAGAGTCATGGATAGAACAAAGTGTGGTCCCTGGAGAAAGCAGGCCTCACGCAGCCCTCACGCAGATCTACTGAATCACAACCTGCATTTTCACAGGCTCCCCAAGTAATTCGTATGCAGGTTTGGGTTTTGGAAAAACAGCTCTAAGGCTTCCTCCAACATTTAGAATCTATGAGTTTATGAAATATGTCTTTCTGTTTTACAGACTCTTAGACGGCTCCATTTCTTCAACTTTTCTCAAAAGACGATCTTCATTAGGGGTCTTTGTCTAGTGCACTTGAATTTTGACATTTTAATTAGACTTCCGGCTTCTCAAGAGACCTAGGAGATTATTAAGGCCACTGGGCCCACTTGACAGAGGAAGAGGGGAAGCCCTGTCTAGACAGGTGAAGAGATTCCCCCAGGCCAGGGGAACCAGAATGCTGACGTGGGGCCCTGGGTCACTGCCGGTTCTGTTACCCCACATAGTATCGTGAGGAGTTATTTTTTGGTTTCCTCAAACATTATGGTGCGGGCAGCGATGACACTGAGCTTGCGCTGCGTGGGCTGCAGACAGGGACGTTTTGGAGTAGAGCAACCCACTGGCAATGCTGCCAGTCTGGCTGGGGAGGTGGGGGTGGGCACATGGTTTCAGCCTATGCTTTTGGGGACAAGGGGAGAAGAAGGGGTGATTTCCAAGGGACTGAAAGGTTGGTGGTTTGTGGTATGGTTGAAAGAATGTCACCTGCCGTATCAGTAAGCAAGGGATGTTGCAGCCATCAAGCCTGCAGTCCCTGCAGCTGTCCCACCCCCAAAATCCCCGGCTGTGCACCCTGAGAGAATTCAGGATGGAGAAGAGCAGGACTCCGGGCCTAGAGAGCTCAGGTGCAGATCCAAGCAGTGCTTTCAGGGAGCCCAGACTCGCATCCTCCCAGACATAGAAAAGCACTAAATTCATTAACTTGAGGTGTCTGGTTTCTTTAACAGTAAACTTTTGATGTTCTGAGTACCTGATACATCCTGGCTCCTCCATCTGAGAGGCTGTCTTCTGGGCTTAATCCTCAGAAAATCTGCCAAATAAAATATAATTCTCAACTTGTGCTTTTTTATTTTTTCCTTCAGTCAACAATTTTGGTGACCACAAAGGGGCCGAGAGCAGACTTCTCTCCTTCGCCTGAACTCTGCAAGTGTCAGGAGCCGGATACCACAGAGGCCTCTTGGGCCTGTCCGCCTCCTCGGAGGGTCCAGATGATTTTGGGTGAGTTTCTCCAGGTTCTCACATCTCCCATTATTGGCTGATTATCCTATATTTCATTCGGTGGTGTTATATAAACTCCTTTCTGGAGGAGTAGGTTATCCTCGAAACTTAGTTTCAAAAAGAGGTACCTGAGTTACCCTCAGTGAAAGACACGTGGAAGAGTTTTGCTCAGACTGGGAAGATTTTGCTCAATTGAAAGACACTGAGCAGGGTTGGACTGGGTAATTAAGTGGAAGATTGACCTGTCATTTTTCCTTGAATTGGCTACTTTAATAGAGTTTGTTGAAACAAAAGTGATCGCAACAAAATGACCTCAGATTGTTTTCCAAAACAAAAGAAAAAGGAATGACAGATTGCCAGCCTCCAGCTAATTCCCCAGCCAGGTTTATGTACCTACAAAACTTACAAGTATTTACTTGAGAATTAAAGAAAATTTTACCCTGAAAATGACTACCATGTGGTGAGTGCATACGCAGTTAAGATAGAAAAAGCCTGCTTGATAAAATATCTTTTCAGAATCCTGACCTTAAGGAAACCAAAGCCCTTCTAGGGGAGACTTGCATTTCTCTTCCTGTGCCTTTGAGGTGTAAATGCCCTACCTGATCTTCTTAGGTGTTTCGTGTGTGTGTGTGTGTGTGTGTGTGTGTGTGTGTGTGTGTGTGTGTGTGTGTGTGTGTGTGTGTGTGTGGTGGTGTTGTGTGTGTGTGTGTGTGGTGGTGTGTGTGTGTGTGTTGTTAGTGTTGTTCGTCGTACGAACGTAAGACTATAGTGTAGTACGTTACTTACGTT